TATAGTAATTTTAATAAAAAAAAGTAATAATTAACCAAGGTATTAATTATATAACCGTGTGACTAGATAATTGTATATTCCGTATTAATTAACCTGTCATTTTAATTATAGTAATTTTAATTATAGTAACTTTAAATATAAAAAATTAAATAATTTAAATATAGTAATAGTAAATTCGTTATAGCACTTTGAAAAATGAAATTTTTTTTTAACCCCGTATGCAAAAATCATATTCCCACAAATTGTACAAAAAATGTAGTCTATAAAGAAGTCTTAAAATGATACTACGTATAATCTCTATATTCTATCGCATCTCATTTTTTATCATCGAAAAATGATTTGAATTTAATAACATAAAAATGACCCGTGCAACGCACGGGTGCGATACTAGTTTGATTAAAATATGTTGAAATTGTGTACAATTGAATGTAGACAGATAAAATTATAGTGAAATTAAATGCAATTTAAAGCACACGTTTAGCCAAACAAACTACTGAAAGCTCTTCTTGGGGGGGGGGGGGGTTATCTTTTCAAACCGTGCTCGGGTTTGTATAAATATTAACACAATATTTTTTATGTAAGTTGTATTTTTTATTCCTATATCCATTTATAAATAAATTAATTTAAAATACATGAAATTTTGCATTTTATTTAGTTATGGTAATTCATTTTGGAACGTAGAGGGTAAATAATATAAGTATATAACTAGTTCAAATGATAACTAAAAGTAAAAATTTAAAATCACATGCATGTAATTATTCACTAATGTAAATAAATATATTATTACAAAACCCATCAAATAGACTACCACATTTGCATCAATTAGCAAAAAAATTGATGCAATTTTTTTTAAAGATTTTCGAAAACTACTTTTTTCATTGATTTTTACTAATAACCGATGCAAATACTTTTTGTATTATTTATTAGCTAGTAATAACCGATGCAATAGACTAAATTTTTTTGCATCAGTTATTACTAATAATAAATGATATAAAGGTATTTGCATAGGTTATTAGTAAGAGAAAAAGATTAAAGTAGGAGTAAAACATTAAACATAGGAGTAAAGATTAAAGTAGGAGTAAAGATTGAAATTCCATTTTTTTATTCTTGTAATACGTAGTAGAAGTTAAAATGCATTTACATTGTCAACTATGACCATATACAGTACCAAAAATATTGAAAAGTTCATATACAAGGCCACAATGGGCCTGTTTGGGAATAGCGTTAGCGATTAGTGTTAGCGTTTTGAAAAGGCTATCTACGGGCAGCGTTTAGCATTAGCATTTTCAAAGTGATCTGCACCGTTAAAATTTTATCCAAAACTCTAACGCTAATCTCTAACGCTATTCCCAAACATGCCTTATGCAAACTTCTACATTGGAGATAAAAGCATAAAGCTCATATTTTGATATTTTCTCTATGTTTATTTCTATTTTTTGAATGATTCCTTTCTTAGTAAGAGCATTGGAAGCGGCAAGGATTTGCCTTGCCACGCCCTGCCATCTGTGGAGATCCAAGAGACACAACGGGAGTGGCAAAAATTGGGTCGCGTGGCATGCCGCGAGTCGCTCGATCTGCGAGGCGAGTGCGAGACAAATAGGAGTCTCTGTCCTCTGCGGAAATCACGAGCGGCATCCTTCCATCCTTCTTTGGAAGTCAGGTCACCGTCGGAAATCACCAGCGGCATCCTTCTGCGGAAATCACTAGCGGCATCGCAGGCCACCTGCTCACTCTCAGGTACCCCTCTCTCTTGTTTATTGCTCTGAAATTTGCCCCTTTTCTTTGCCCTAATTCAATCTCTTTGCCCTAATTCAATTAAAATAAATTTTGTCCTAGTACACACAAGTTGTTTGACAAAATGATAAAAGATGATCCAAGATAAGAGTTCTTGAATGCCTCGTAATTTAGTCCACACAGTATATTTCATCATTCTTTCATTTTTTGTTTATAAAAAAATGTCAAAAATATGTAAAAAATGTAAAGTAAGACAAAGAAAAGTGACTTGCCACTGCAGGATAATGCCATGTCACTCTGTGACTAGATTGGTTTTGATTGGTTGAATCGTGCCATGTCAGCGTGTGGCATTCCAATGTATGTCTTGTCATTGTTCATGCTCTTATTTCTTTCTTAAAAAATGTTGAAAAAAAAAGAAATGGAGATAGTTGCCTCGCAAGTGCCATGGCAATCATGGAGGAATGCTAATGACATTCCACAATTTGGTGATGTGGCAAGCGTGGCTGAGGACATTCCTCGCCATTGCCATTGCTCTTAGGGAACACTTTATATTTGGCATAACCCATTCATTAAAACTACTACTCCCTCCGTCCCACTATATTCGTCCACTTTTGACTTTTGGAACTGTTCATCTAAGCACTTTGACTCATCAAATTCTCTCATTGTGTAAGCCTAAATATAGTCATGTGTGATCTTGTTTGATTTGTCTTAACATATAGATTATTAATATAAAATTTCTATAATTTTTTAATATATAAATTACAAGATAAAATGGATTAAAGAAGTGTATTGGATGGTGTGCAAAAATGAAAGTGGACAAATATAGTGGGACGGAGGAAGTATAATATTTTGATTTTTGGAAAAATATCAGATATAATGTCAGTTTTCTAAAAACAATTTCATTTTTCACTGTAATACATAATAAGCCAATCTTTGATAGAGTGTGCGAGTTTTAAGTGATAGTATGCAGTTCTAGTGTAACAATGTCAGTGTAAATTCTTATTTTAGTCTTAAAAGACTTAATACTCCTATTTTAGTATCTTCATAATTTTTATTCTTATTTAGTGAGTTCTCCCAATTTCAATCAATTACATTATGGCCACATCGAACGATGTTTTTAATTAACTTATTTTTATTATTTATTATTTATTCTTATTGTAATTAGTTTTGACCAGATTAGATCAAACCTTAGTAAAATCAGATCAGACCAAATCTGATTAGACAAAGAAAACAAACCCTAAGTTCTGGAAAAAAGAAAGTATGATAGTGTACATCTTAAGGATGGGCACGGTATGTAAAGGCCCAGAACTTATCACAACCGCACTTATTAAAACAGTACAATGTCGGTACGTGATGAATCTCAAAACCATTCAATACCACTCTATTTTCAAATGGAACGGTACAATACCATGCTAGCCTAAATTTGTTCTAGAAAAAGCAAGTATTCATATATACTAATTCAAATATTGAAATGAAAACACAACTTTGTATTACAACTGAAAGTTCGTGGGGGTGTAGAGGAAATCACCAATTGAAAGTTATGCACACAAATGAATCTATTATGCTACAGAGAAAATACCGCAGCATTGTCACAGTAACAAATGACAAAGAGTGTGCTATAACACCTTCTCCGTCACAGCTCACAAGCGCAGACACAAAAGCAGATGATGCAGAGGGTGTCACAGCACCTATTGGGCAGAATGATGTAACGATAAAATGCATAAAAAAGAACACCAAATATGTTTACACAGTTGGGAGAATTCTCCTAATCTGTGGGCCCACATCCGTGTAATAGCACTCCACTAAATCACTAGATTCAAGTTACAGTGGTACATAAAAACATGATGAGATACACTTCTCCAAATTGTTATGACAAAACTTCTAATCTAGAATTTCTAACCCGAACCCTGTTCATATCCACTTTAGCTATCACAAGGACAAACGTGTTGGCAGCCCTCTCTTTAAGCTTTGGTTCATCTCATGGTTCTCAAGATCTGTTTTTCGTTGTAGAACTCCTTCATGTAGATAGTAACAATCTTTACATAAGGGAAGTTCTGAGAAGCGATGAGAATGCTCTAGGTCGGCATGTATTTAATCTTAATCTACAAGTAGCCTAAAGCCTTCTAAATACTAGTTGGATTTATTATCATGTTGTCACAATCCCAATAGGCCTCTGATTTTGAAAATTGCAAATTGTAGCTTAAAATTTTATGCGGAGACTTCTGATCCCGTACAATGTGTTGCAACCTTATGTTGTAGCATCTTCAGTGTCAACCTCGAAAACGGCAGGAACTTTAAAAGTCTAAATAAAATAAACATCTTCTAACAAACAAAGATTTCTACATAGTAAAACTCCTACAAAATATAAGTTTTTATTTTGCCACAAGATTAGCCAACACCTTGGAACTAACAAAAACAGAACATAACCTTATTAAAAAATGCATACAAAATTAAAGAATCGTAATTGTAAATAAAAGATAATGAGCCCAATTTAAAAACGATGTCTTTTTTTAATAATACAATATTGGACTATTAATGAGTATAAAGAAATAAGAATAAAAATAATGAAAGAATATTAAAAGAGAGAAAACACATCCATATGTGAATGACGGAGGAGACACATAAATATTTGGGATACTTTGTAGTTAACCTCGCACGATTCGATGTAGTTAACCTCGCACGATTCGATGTGTGATAATCGGTTTAAATTTTTGTGTCTCGATCTCGTCTTATTTGAAATTAATTCGAGATCAATTAAGGATGAAAAAACAAATGGGAGAAAGACCAAAGTAGGACTAAACATTGAAAATATACCAAAATAGGACTTCATGTTTTTATTCTCGAAATAGGACTTACATTGCCAAACATGGTCATATACATTACCAAAAGAGTATAGTAATTTGCATATGTACACTACTACATTACCACAGTGCAAAGTTACATTACCACAGTGCAAAGTCCTATTTCGGGGAAAAAAACATAAAAGTCTTATTTTGATACTTTTCTCCATGTTTTAGTCCTATTTAGGATGATTTATAAAAGCAAATCTGTTTAAAAACACAATAAATGTTTTAGTACCATTACCATCTGGTGTGATAAGTTACGGAGTAATATTTTTTGTCCACCCAAAATACATATGCGGAATTCCCCTGAATCTCTGATGATGATGATTGATACAAACATAAACATAATTAAGCTAATAATTAAGGTTGCAAGGCCTCACTGCTCTATATATATAGGGAGTATCGAAAAAACAGCACTTCAGATCCCAACAAATTCTCTCTATCCAAATACACAAACAAAACATCCAAGCTCAGCTCAAATGGGAAACAGCTGTTCGTCATCGTCCTCCCATATACTGATCAAAAGTTCAGAGAGACTAGAGAATCCGCCGCCGGCTGCCGGAGTAGCCATAGTAGTGAAGCTGGACGGGAAAGCCCAAGAGTTCTGGCAGCCGTTAAGGGCTGGCGACGTTCTATCAGAGAACCCGAACTGCATCCTCTGCAGCTCGGAGACATTGAATGTCGGATCGCCGGTAACGGACTTGGCCGGAGACGATGAGCTGCAGCCCGGCCAGCTTTACTTCCTTCTCCCCACCGCCAAGTCCCACGCGCCGCTCTCTCTTCACGATTTGTGTGCTCTGGCCGTCAAAGCCAGCGCCGCACTCGGTGGCAGAGGTGCCGGACTAATCCTCGACGACGTGAGAGAAAATCGCCGCCGCGCTCGTCCATCGCCGGGCTGCCGGGTTTTCTCGGCCGGAGCATTAGTGGCGGCGGATGCTGCGGCATCGTTTGGATGGATCATCAAGTTGTTTATGGTAACCAAAAGGTTGACTTCGGTCATCTTTGAACCAAAGTCGTCGTCATATTGCGTTGAAAGTTGATTTTTAACCCATAATTATCAATTTGAATTACTGTATTAAGTATGGGCACACCAAGCAGGGCACATTATGTTACAAGAAATTTTAATTCTTTGATTACTTGACAAAATTAGGACATCTTTGCAGAGAAATCATCATTCCTAATTACTCCCTCCGTCCGGAAATGTTCTTCCCGTGTTGACTTGGCACGCTTATTAAGGAATAGTAAAAAAATGCAAAATTTTCAAAAATGCACATACTATAAACTTTTAAATCTCATTTTATTATTAAAAAAGTATTAAAAAGTAGATTTGTGATAAAATAGAAGGGTATTATTGATATTTAGCCTTAAAAAGCATACTAAAAAAGGAAATGGGAAGATTATTTTCGGACGGACCAAAAAGAAAAATGGGAAGAATATTTCCGGACGGAGGGAGTATATTTATTTTATTATTATGAGCTGGGGTACGAATTTTTTTATTTAATAATGTGTGAAGGCTATTAATTAAAAAAGATTTGTTTTTTGTTAAATATATTAGTTAATTAATATATTTAATGTTATATATTATAATTATGGTTGTTACCTATTATAGTTAGATATTTATTACGGAGTATATAATATTAATTACCTTATATAACTAGCCATTAATGTGGAGGATTCTAGACTATATTCCTCCACCTATAAATACATACTCCCTCCGCCCCCCTAAGATGTTCTCATTTTGACTTTTGGTGGTTTTTAAGGAGAGTTGAAAAAAGTGAAAGTTTGCCATAATATCCTTAATGAAAAATGGGTGGAGTGTATTAAATGAGGTGGGTGAGGTGTAATAAATAAAGTAAGTGGGGGTAGTTGTGGTATTTTAATTGTTAAAAAATGAAATGAGAAGATCTATTGTGGACATATAAAAAGGGCTATTGGGAAGATCTATGGGGAACGGAGGGAGTATTTTGTATTCTTCTCTCATTCATTCAATCAATAAAGCGTAATTTATTATTTTTATATGGTATCAGAGTCTTCGTTCTTGGAGACCTAATACTTTCTGCTTCTGCCGCCGCCGTCGCTGGTAGTTTATCCAGTGACGACGGCTCCACTCTAACTTCTTCCTCGAATAACCATCCGCCATGCTCTTCCATCCGCCTCTGGATCCATCACCACCACTTCTTAATTGTAGATCATATCACCACCTTAGCATGCTTGTTAGTCGGCATATCTTTGGTCAATAGGCATCTACAGCAACATCATGTTTCTTCCCTAAATTAGTCGCGCACGACTTCAGCGTACTTCAACATTCTCCCTTCTTTGACGCCCGTAGCAGGAATCTGTCCGCAGCGGCTCTTCTCTCATCCTCCTCAGTGCCGAAAAATCCCTTTGCCATCAATCTTTCTTCTTCTCTTCTGGTTCAGATGCATTCAGTCTGCTCTAGTCGAAAATATGTTTCTTGCTTCTAGTTACAATTCTAGTCATCACTCGCTTTAAAGTTGGTGTTCAATCTAACCCGTCTAGGACGTTGGGAGCATGTTAAATATATTAGTTAATTAATATACTCCCTCCGTTCCAGTGTATTTGTCTAGTTTGACTTTTTCGAGACAAACTAGACAAACTTTGAGCTTCAATTAAATAAAAATTGTAATGTATTTTAACATAAAAATGACTTTATTAGATTTATCGTATTGAGAACTTACAAAATTATTTTCATTATGCTAATAAGCAATATAAGTTGAGAGTAATTGGAGTTCAAAGTTTGTCCAGTTTGACTTGAAAAAGTCAAACTGGACAAATACACTGGGACGGAGATAGTATTTAATATTATACTCCGTATATTATAATTATGGTTGTTACCTATTATAGTTAGATATTTATTATATAATATTACCTTATATACTTAGCCATCAATGTGGAGATTCTAGACTATATTCATGACGACCTTGATTAGCTGAAATGTGGTAATTCTTATGTGCTTTGTAAACCTTGACGACCTTGATTAGCTGAAAAATACATCGCATTTCCATGTAAATATAATATCAATAGTTTTCTTTTAAAACGTAACTTTGAAATATTAATTTTTTATAAAATATAACTCTGGTATTAATTTTTTTAAAAATATATCTATGTATAAATATCGATATTGATGGTCAAAATATTATATTGAAGACCGTGAATAGTCAAATAAGAAATTTAAATCTGGACGGAGGGAGTAACTTAAATTTGGTGTAGATGATAATTTAAGGTGCATGGTGTAACACCCAATCTGCGTAATCCGAATAAAAGAATTAACGAACCATATCGCCACACAATTGGTATCCACTTGCACAATATTTTAAATCATTTAAAACAAAATCATTCATATTTTAAAGCATGTGTCTTATCAGAGTAATAAATAGTACAATGTGGAAGTCTTTAAAAACAATATTACACAAAAAATCTCGTAATTTAAATAAATAAGTTTAACTGAATAATTAATTTAACATGCATTAATAGCTCTGGGTCATCCACTTTGCCAAGTATTACTGAATGCTAGGCTGCTCATCCAATTCTCAATTTCTATCTATTTGTAGTCCAAGACAACAAAGACTACACGCTCAACTTCTAGCAGTGCTTGAATCAACTTACAGAGTAATACTATAAATATATACAACCACACAAAATCATATAGATAAGTCACATAATTAACAATTAGGATTCAACCTAGTATATTCATATATCCAGTGCTTTAAACCTATAACCTCTAAGACTCACATCAATCATATGGGAGTCATAGGATCTAAGCTCTCACTGGGAATCACGCTCTAAATTCCAAAGATCTCTCAATGGAGGGGGTGGGGAGTTGAGGCCACCACTGCCTCTCACCAGGGGATCACTTACCTTTGTACGTACATTTTAACTTTCAAGACCATCATGCGTGTGAAGACACCTGCATGACTTTAATTTTTAATCCTTAGTCTAATTGGTGATTTCAGTATTCTATTCCATTCAAATCTACCTAGATTTATTAGGTAGTCTGTTTTATCATCACAATTCATGAATCACAACATACATCACCAACAAGCTCAATCGAATTCATATCATAATCCATAAGCAATCAATCCTAAGCATGTACCTATAGCAAATTTAACAATATATGATTCAAGAGTAGATTTCAGTGAGGTCAATGATCATGCTTCCAACACGTTAATAATTGATATAATGTATACGAATGAAAAACATCCTATAAATCAATTTTAACAATACATAAATGAACTACGACTCACCTGATTAATTGACAAAATAAAACAAATCAAATGAATAAACCTAATCAATAATTAGAAGGCGGACATCGGCGGTGCACAGTGCATGTGGCTTCCTCTGATTAAGACGCCGCTGCATCAGTCGACTCGATTTTTCCCTGTATTCAAGCCGCACTCTTATGCAATGTACGTGTCTACGTGTATACTTTGTGTTTATTTATATTGGGGTGTAGGACTTTTGGCTTTGCGGGTAGAGTTTAGTTTTATTTATATATTACTCTTTACTTTATTATTATATTATAAAATCAGTTTAACTATTTATTCTACTATAACATCGATTTTGTTCATAATTTTTTGTGCATGGAACCAAACTTGAAAGAATAATATATCATTAATCATCGTTTCACGAGACCTATCCAACAACATCAACATTAAATATATTATTTTGAATTTATGACATACTTACATTTTATTCTTTTACTTTATCGTCTTTTCACTCTTGGAACGGTCAACTCATTACGTTTCATAACTCGAATTTAAACACGAAACACATAATAGGGCTTGTCTCTTCAAAACCTTCAATTTGAATACTCCGTATAAATTTGACCATAGAAAGGTAACTTTGAAAACATCCTATTTTAGCATTATAGCTTCAATTCTTAATTAATTTATGCGAAAATCAGAATTACGATTTATTAGAAATTCATTAATTCTAGGGAATGTTTCAGGGTGTTACACATGGACTTTGGAGACGTATTGGTAGTGACAAATAACAGTTAAAATTTTAGACAAATTTGATGTCCGTTGAACTTATGTTTTCAGCTCATTACTTATTCAAATTAAAATAAGATCGGATCATATCTACTCAGATCAGATCCTCTAAGATCAAATTAGATTTGACCAAATCAGAAAAAAACTTTACATATAATTATAACACTACTAAAATAATTGCGAACAGAGGGGGAGAAGTTTGCCTCTAATTCTACAAAAACCGCCGCTATTCAAGATATAGAGTGGAACTACAGGCGGACTACGATCTGCCGCTAATCACGCTGCTGCTAATTTTAGAGGCGGAAAAGTCCGCCACTAATTTTCTACAATTTAGAGGCGGAAAAGTTTGCCTCTAAACTAGATACGGAACTGTTCGCCTCTAAATCAGAGGCGGAATTCTTCGACGCTTAAGTAGAGGCGACATTTTTTGCCTCTAATAGTAGAGGAGGACTTCTTTGCCACTACCTTTAGAGGGGGGATAATCTGCCTCTAATTTTTTTTATATTAAAAAAAAATATAAATAATTATAATATTCTGATTATAATCAGATGAGATCTAATCAGATTAGACCAGATAAAATCTAATTAGATCGGACCTCATTAGATCAGATCAAACCAGATCTTCACATATTCAGATTGGGTCAGATCAGATCAGACGCATGGAACACAGTCGTACACATGACCTAATAATTTGTCTTAGCGAGTCTCGATTTCTACTTGTTTAGCAAGAGAATCATCAAGAAATACACTCTGATGTGATTGCGCATTCTCATGTTAAACGAGTGTATGATCAAATGATTTCTAAACGAACGTATATCTACTCGTTTAGCATGACAATGCGCAATGACATTTGATCACATTAAGAATGATCAAATGAAGAAAAAAGCCACTTGTAATCATCAATAATCGAGCTTAGATAAGAAATACACTCTAAAACTCCTTGATTAATGGCCTAGACAACTCGGATGCAATCAGAAAAAAAGCATTATAGTCCAGTACTCACTTTCTTTTAACCAAGACAAAGCTTCTCGACATGCCATAACACACAGCTTCAGCATATGCTGGTTCTTGAGCACAACACACCTTTTGAGCAATATCCGCCTGAAAATCATGAAACAAGGAAAGATAACCCTTCCAAAACCCACTAAGCCATTGGAGGTCGCGGTCATCACTCGTCCTTCCATATTCTTTATTGAGTTGAAATTTTTCTCTCGCTTTAGTGGTAAAAAGTCTACTCCCCTAGATTCATGGGAAAATTCACTCAGGTTTGAATCCTACGAAGGGAGAAGCAATGACTTTTTGTGTGTCATTAGATTGAAAAAAATATGAATGGATACTATGTTAGTATAAAGTCAATAATATTAAAAAATTATATTCTTTATTGAGTTCATCACTTTAGAATTTATAGAAGGGAAAAAAAATGCTAAAATAGAAGTACAACATTAAAAAATATCAAAATAGGAGTTCCATATTTTTAGTGCCAAATTAGGAGTAAAAATGATCTTACATTACCAATCATGACCATATACATTTTTAAAAAGTATTGTGAAATGTCTATGTACAGTGCCATATTACTGTATTGCGAACTCATATTTTGGGATTAAAAAATAAGGCTCTCAGTTTGGTACTTTCTTTATGTTTTATTTCCATTTATGGTGATTTCTGTTTCAAACATTTCAATAATGGGTGGTGATCGTCACATCCCATCCAAACACTAGCTTCACTCTAGACACTAAATTCACTCCATTAGTTTCAAAATTATTTTTAATACTTATTCAAAAAAATTATTTTTTAATTCATGAACTTATATTCAACATTTTATAGTTCTAAGATCTTTTATAAAAATTCTAGTTTGAATCATAATATAATAATAGTTTAATAATAATTTTTTTGTTCTACTAAATACGTAGTATATTTTAATTATTAAACATGATATCTTAATACGGATATTAATTATAATATTTTACTTTGTTATATTATTATTTAGAAGTTATTTATTATTATTTATTGACGGTTTAGGATTTTAGTGTGGGCCTGAGCCCGTTAAGTTAATTAGGGTTATCTGCGTTCTTTATATATTGTAACTCTTCATTATTACTCCCTCCGTCCGGGAATGATGTTTCCAGTTTGATTTTTCCTCATTTTTAAGAATGGGTGACTATGGGAATGAATGGTCCAAAATACCCCTTCACTGATGAACCCCAATTTCCGCTACCCACCATCGCCTGCATCTCTTACCACCCCACCTTCTCTACCTATTCCCGATCGCCGCCATCCCCCCCACCACAACCGTCGGTCCGTCGCTCGCCGCCACCCCCCACCACCACGGCCAACTCCACCTTCTCCACCAACACCTACAGTGCCGTCAGCCTCCACCGCAACCTCCAGTCCCTCCATCGCCGCTGTCCCTCTCCATCGCAGATTTGGAAGAAAAAGAAGACCTGTGAGGAAGGGAAGAAGAAGAGGAAGAGGCGGATGGTGAGTCTGTCACAGATCTGTTTAGATCTAGAAAAAAGGGGAGGAAAACAAGATGGTGATGATGATGGGAAGAAGAAAAAAGAAGGGGATCTGACTGGATCGGAAAAAGAGAAGGGGAAGAAAGAAGAAGAAGAAGAAGAAGAAGAAGAAGAAGAAGAAGAAAAAGAAAAAGAAGAAGATGGAGGTAGGATCGTAGAAAGAGAGAAGAAGAAGAATGAAAAATGAGAAGAAAGAGGGGAGGGGAAAAAGAGGAAGATGAGGAGAAAGGGAGAACCGAAAGAAATACTGGAAGGAAAAAAGAGAAAGAAAGAAAAGAAGAGGATGGTAGTTTTGGAAGAATGGTAAAAAATAAGTAGAATGGGAACATCATTCACAGACGAAAAAAAACGTAGAGTGGGAACATCATTCCCAAACGGAGGGAGTATTATTCAATCAATCAATAATGAAGAATTTTCTTTATCTCGTTCTCTCTTCTCTGGAGCTTGAAAACGCTCAAAGTTTTCATTCTCTTTGTCTTTTCTTTCTTAGAGTTCGAAGACGGTCGAAGTTTTTCTCTATACTGATACGAATCGTACAAAATTCGTAACATATCTTTTTAAACTAAAAGTTGTAGTTTTAATAATAATTCACATTTATATAGATTTTTGCTCTTGAAAAAAATAAAAGAGAACAATGATGAATAGTTGTAAAGATTATACTCGGTATAATTTTTTTAAGTAACATTTATATAACCATTTTTTTAAAATAATAAAATAACTATGTAGATTAAAAATGGTGAAATACATATTGGTATAATGCTTAGAAAATAGAAGATTTTATACAAAATTAATGGTCATTTAATGTATTAACAAGAAAAGTTATTTTAATTATGAAAAATTAAAAGAAGAGGAACCAAAATTTATAATTTAAATTAAAACAAAAATATATATTATTTTATTTGAAAAGTAATAAAATGAAATTAATGATGAATGGTTTTAAACTTTTTTTATAATGTTTTTTTAAAATAATAAAATTATATAACTTTTTTAAAAAATAACATAATAATATATCTGGAATGTATTTAATTGATGAGTGTCTTTAGTGTTTTAGCAGGTGTAAGTATCAAAATTCTTTACCCCGTTTGGTACACGGAATTGAAACTATGAAATTGGAATTGAGGACTTCAATTCTAACTCTCATGTTTGGTAGCACAAAAATTATGTTGAATTGGAATTGGTAGTGCAAAAAATGAATTGGAATTGATGAATTCAATTCTATGGAATTGAATCTCATGGAATTTCAATTCAATTAAATTCCAATTTCATCAATTCCGTATACCAAACGGACCCTAAGAATTAAGTTTCTCATTTCTAAACGGGAAATGCTTGGTTCACAAACCCAAACTTCACAAACTTCACAAATTTACCATTTGTGAACTTCAATAAAAAAATTAAATAGTCTAAAATAATTTTAAAATGAGAATTTAAACCATAAATAGCAAATTTATGGAATTTGTGATGATTTTGTTTGTGAACCTATGATTGCTCGAACTAAAAAGGCGTCGTTGACGCGTGAATTTTGTGGTCTAAGGTGATAATTAAAGGATTGCGTGCTAGACTCATGGAACCAATGAGGAGTCTTCTTCTTCTCTCCTAAGCAAAGTTACCTATCCTCGGCCGGCGACTCCCGCGATACCCGACCCGATTTCGCAATGAAATCTGCTGCTCGTTCTTCCTATTAGAACTTCTAAATCCCTAATTTCTGAACGATTCGGCCATTCTCACTCACACATTAGTCCAGAACGGATATACATAATCGTCCGCCCGGTGGAGTAGATGGAGAATTGTATATATATCAGCAGTAGCGATGACGGCTATTACTCTTCCGATCAGGAATCGCTCGACGGGCTTGAGAATGAGGAGTCTGATTCTCCTGTTGGAGGAGGAAATTCTTGCAAGGTACCCACAGTCCCAAACTCGCTAGTAATTATTGCATCAGTTTTATATTGATGCTGCATATTTTTTGTTTTAGTTCTATTTTCTGTGTTTCAGTTGCTTTTAGGATCAAATTATATCGTGATTCGGATGCATTGTTTAGTTTTTTAGGAGATTGCTCAGTTTGGATCTAAACTCATTCCATATTTATATAGTCCCCTATACAAATTTAAGCCATTATAGGTTTTTATCAATTTCTTTGTGAAACTAATCCCTTCATTGAGAGTGAGGTGTGTTCTACACTGCTACATGGCTTCCCTCTTATTAAATTTTGTTACAAGTGGCATTTAAATGTAGGTTTGTTCTTACTCTTTTCATGTGTTTATAGGTGATCACAAAAGAGTCTTTGTTGGCTGCACAGGTAAAACACTGTCTTGTTTCATATTTGCTATTTATGGATGATCCAAACCATCTAGAATTTGCTCACATTTTACCTGATCTTGGCATGTAATTCTTAATGTATTCTCCATTCATTACAGAGGGAGGATTTGCAGAGAGTGATGGACTTGCTTTCAATAGGAGAACACCATGCTCGTACTTTACTCATTCATCATCGGTGGAATGTTGAAAAGCTGTTTGCAGATCTTGTTGAGAAGGGAAAAAGCAACCTTTTTGCTGAAGCTGGAGTATCTGTTCATGAAAATAACAATCTTGATCACAAACTCAGTTCTCCCTCGTTAATGTGCAATATATGCATAGAAGAATTACCCAGAAGTGAAATGACACAAATGGACTTTGGTCATTGCTTTTGCAACAGCTGTGAGCATCCTTTAAACTCTACCTATCTTTCACTCTTTGTAGTCATTTTAAGGCGGGAGTGGTGCCTGTGGAGGATAAGTTGTGTCCAACACTGAGATGATGAGATGGTTTGGGCACATACTAAGGAGAAGTCCGGACGCTCTAGAAAGGAGGTGCGAGATGCTTGTGGTAGCTTTGTAGGGGCGTAGGGGACCTAAGAAGGGGTAGAGGTATTCCTAAGAAGAGTTGTAAATAGGTGGTTAGACATGAATTGTGCCATCAGGAGCTGACCAAGGATATGACTTTAGGTAAAAGCGTTTGGAGGTGTAGGATTACGGTAGTAGGATAGGCCTTTGGGGTAGTTCTCTACTTTTGTGTAGGACTAATTTCCTTAGTCTGATTGTGTATGCGGGTGCTTACTTCTTTCG